CACAGCCAAATCCTGTTGCAATCAAACACTGGACGACCATGTTCCAAAAATTAGTCCATGAATCAAAAGATGCAGTTTCTTCCGGAGCATTGATATCTGGTGAAAAAATCTCGCCAGATCGCTCGTTCCACCAAACCCAGCGTCGCTTGGTAATTGGCGAGGGGGTTGGCTCATCATCAACAATCAGTGTAAAGCATCGGCTACCCCCTTTATGAAAGCTTGCAATTCGAATCAAGGACCCCCATTGAATCCATGGCCACATAGTCCTGGGAATCTTCAAGAGGATCGGGTCGAGAGATTCATCCTCTGGCCGAAAAAGAACTTTCATCCCAAAATCGGCCACCTCATAGCGATCCAAGATCTGTCCAGCACACCAGGATTGACAGGCTTGACTTTTGATGAACTTCGGCTTAGCTGGATAGGGTTGTAGTGGACATACCCAGGAGGGCGGGCGAGTATCCCATGGCATGGCACGAGTTCGCGCCCACGCGTGCGCGGGCGACAGGCGTGCGAACGTGAACGCCTCGAGCCGTAACGCCTACACTCTGCCACCCCCAATGCTGTCAACTGTAGCTGCATCTGAAGCGACCAAATTCTTCACCCAGCCAGTCTGCCCAGGCTGCATGTGGTCCTGGTGCTCACGCCCTGGCCGGCTCAGGCATTTCTGTATGTGGGCATTTTGGTGATGCATGCATGCCCAAACACTTGTCGCACTGATGTACGGTGTTCCAATGGATAAAGTCGAGTTCCGCAACTGCGCAGCATTCTGCAACTAGGATTCCGCAACTATTTGGTCGGATTCCGCAACAGGGATTCCGCAACTAGGATTCCGAAACTAGGGTTCCGCAACTGGGATTCCGCAACTAGGTTTCCGCAACTAGAACTCCGCAACTAGAATTCCGAAACTAGGATTCCGCAACTGTCAGGATTCCGCAACTAGGATTCCGCAACTAAGATTCTGCAACTGGGATTCCGCAACTGGCGTTCCGCAACTAGGATTCCGCAAAATTGTGGATTCCCTCACTAGGACTCCGCAACTTTTGTGAATGATGAGGGGGTTGGCGTGATGTCGAGATCACACGATGGGGACAAGGGGGGGTTGGGGGGGTGGGGGAGTTGGGTGGGGGGCTAATGACGTTGGTTTGGATGTGCTTCGAAGATGAAGTCACAGGCACACGCTATCGCATGATGTGGAGATCACCAGTTGCAGAATACCAGTTTCAGAATGCCAGTTGCAGAATCTGACTTTCAGAATCGCAGTTTCAGAATACTAGTTGCAGAATCTGACTTTCCAGTCTCAGAATACAAGTTGCAGAATCCCAGTTTCAGAATCCTAGTTTCACAACCCCAGTTTCAGAATCCTAGTTTCAGAACACCAGTTTCAGAATACCAGTGTCAGAATCCAAGTTTCAGAACCCTAGTTTCAGAACCCCAGTTTCAGAACCCTAGTTTCAGAATCCGACCGATTAGTTTGCGAATCCGGCTCTAACCGTGTTCCAATCATGTGCACACCATATGCTTTGAATTGCATTTGTACAGCCTGCACCATTGTATTATGCACAAATCTTGTATCCTCTTCTGTTTGTGATGTGCTCGCCATGCCACAGTCAACATGTTCAACTGCAAACTCTTTGGTCTGACGATGATCCTGGGGCCTCACCACCCAACCTTCCTGTTCCAGGAGCAGTCTCTTTGGGGGTGTACTCTTCGCGGGTCGCCGGTTTTTGCATCACCTTCAACGACTTGAAGGCCGGATGAGAACGAGGAAGGCCGGATTGCTGACCTCATCCTCACATGCTCGGCCCCAAATGGAGTTCCATGGCCTAGCGGGAAATAGCCATGCCAGGCGTAGGGTTTCCAGACGATCGTATTCAGTTTGAGCAATGCGCTTCAACCTGGCCATATGTACCAATCTGCATCTGACTTCACCCTGGTAAACAATGAAACTTCTCAGCACTCAGCCATCGTCTTGTACTTGAGTAGGTTGCCAAGGTCCACTGTTATGTTGGGCATAACGCAAGACTGTATACGACAGGACCAAGCATTGCCCACACCATGAAGTTCCTTGATTATTCAATGTACCATCTCTCGACAGAACAACTTCTGACAGCTTCACCTTCTTCAAAATTCTCATTCCAAACGGGCCAACAGAAAGGGCAACATCGGCATATGATGGCGACCCTTCCCCTAATAGGTGCTTGATGGCCGAGCATTGCTCTGTCGTGGGCTCAGACTCTTTTGGCGGTCTCGCCTTTACCGCAGTACCACCTTGAACCGTGCAAAGGCTTTGATCACTTCCTGTTCATTTGCAAGAAGGATCTCAGTATCACCAATTTGGGAGATGATGGCACTCAACTTCACTTTCCTTCCAGCTGCAGAGGTTAGCGCTGCTGATGATGTTGGCGAAGTTGACATCGTTGAGAATGCAAGTCTTTTATTCGACTGTCCCTCCTTATCCTGCGATGATTCTGCAGACATGTCCCACCAGCTTTGCCGCGCCTATCTCAGCAAATGTTGGCACCCTTGGTGGAGTTGAAGGAATCGATCTTCCATTATATCGAGTTTTGCTTCCTTCATAATGCCCCTATTGACAGGCTTGACATCTGCTTTTGCACCAATCAATGCTAACAATGATCCTGGTACAGACTTGTCATCAGCCAATTGCGCGTCATCGAATCCTGCATAGCTGAAAACATTCTTCAACGTAGTCATCCCTTTCTGTTCATTTTCTGTGGGGCTCATTGCTGCTCACTCTAAATCCGGTAGGGAGCCTGATTGTAGTTGGCTCTTCCGATCTGCAACTGCTAGCAGCAAATCACCGAAGGGACCCCACCGCCGCGCGATACACGGTACCAACTGGATGCAGTACACCAGTGGGTGCCGGATGGTGTATGTGCTCCCCACCCCTCACCCCAATGACGTGTCGGGTGAAAATGAGAGAGGCGGGTGCCGTGTCTTGAGCCGAAATCGGCAACAAGCACCATCTAAAGCCATCCAACCAACCCAACGCAACAACATGCAACAACAATGTTACATCAACAACTCGTTGTTTCTTCCCCAAACGTGCCATTTGACCGAAAGTGAAACAACACCCCAAGGTGGCGCATGACAAACAGTGAAAAAGAACACATTGTCGCGTTCTCGTGCGCGGTTCCGGTCGTTAATTGCCTGTGTATTGCCAAGACTTTCGGATCCTCCTAATCAAGTTTTTCAGTGTCATTTGGATGATGCCTCTAAAATTGAAGTGTGTGCATTTGTCGACAGCAGAATTCATCATATTCATCATCTCGCAGAATTGCACCTCACTTGACCTTACCTTAACTGGAAGCTTCGTCCACTTCCAAAATAATTTGGAAGCTCCAGGGGCTCCAAGCCCCGAGAAAGGGGGGTTCTGTCGGGGTCCGTTGCCCATTACACGCTTTGGAGATCAGGTGGTGGCACAGTCCTGGGCTCAGCTTTTCCTTCATTGGCCAAATGTTTTGGTGAATCTAACCAGGGGAGACGAAGGGATTTGAATCATATTTGATGCCTGCAACTGATTTCAATAGGTGAGTCTCCAACCTCTACACTCTACAGCATCAAGTATACATAGTTGAGGCACTTCACTTGCTTGGTGGAATTCTTTCTCAGATTTGTGTGGCTTCCACAGATGCACAATCTTTTGTAGAAGTTTGGCGTTGATTTGACCTCCATGCAGCCATGAGCCATGGCTGTTGCTTTTCATGGCCAGCAAGCAGCCTATCCACGGGAAGAGCGACAAGGGCCGAATTCGCAACAACATCCGGACTCCTCTAGCTTTCGGGGGACTTCGAAACAATTCCATCGTTCTTCAACAATGTTTCTTGTACTCGTAGCGAAACGGGCTATCAAATGCTGGATAAGGTATTTATGAACAACTGGGTGCAAGTCTCAAAAAGTTTCTATCCAAAGAGCTATCACCAAACTGCTTCAATCATTGCACACCATTCCGTCCCTCCTTGGAATTACTATCTCCAGCAGTGGCTTCATCATAGTGCATGCACGCGAAACCTTTGTTACTGGCCTTTGTCAATGGTAAACTCACACTCAGGGCAAGGCTGCATCCATAGGGGTTGGTGCTTGCAGCGGCTTCACGGGCAGTTACAGGGCTCGTGACAAAGGGACGCGCGCGACGACGGGATTCCAGGAGCGATGTTTCCCAACAACAGCAGCGATGTTTCACACCGAAATGAAGGGCTCCAAGGCCACAACTTGACATCTGGGTGATACTTGTCAATTATACGGTTTTTTACATGTGTGAAACGAAGCAGTTGGCATCAGTGTCGGATCGTTCGGCTTGAGGCATGTCTTTTACTCATGCGGCCATATAGGCCTACAGCCATAAATCGCTACGCGTTCGGCCAAAAGGGGCGCTTGAAAGCCTGTCCACGAGGGCTTTCACAGTGGCACCGGAGCCGAGTTTTCTTTCAGGGCCGCTTCGTTGCGCTACCGCACTGCGCTTGCTCCCTTCCTTTGTCTTGCTGGCTGGCCAGAACTTTGCACCGTGGTTCACCAGGGCACCTTCTCTCGACGGTGTTTCGAGGGGCGTTCTCTGAGGACTAAGGTGTGAACCTTGCCTGCCCTTTTTTCCTTCGCTCGGACTGTCCTTTTCTTTTGAGAGCCTTTCACTCGTGAACTTGGCTACTTCACTGTCTTTTCCTTCGGCTACTAGGCCTTCAGAGAGAACACCCTCGTCCGTGTCCTCCTTTGTTGGAGCAGCTAGGCTCCTTTGTTCTTGCAAGCCGACCGCACAGGGCTTGAAGGACCCAGACCTTTTTTTACTTTGAGCTCAAACACACCGTGTACCTTGCCTTGAACTTAGTTTTTGGAGGCCGAAGCCTTTGCCTCCCTTTTTGCAGAGATGGCCACGAATGCTGAAGAGTCTGGTACCTCAAGTTGGTACCGTGTCCCCACCTGGTCGGGGAACCCCGCCGAATGGCGGCAGTTCCGCCGTGAAATGAATTGGTGGATCGCTAGCCTGGATGTTGAGAGTTGCAAGGGCACTCAGGCAGCATGGAGTTGTCAGGGCTAGATGTGAAGAATTTGACCCTGCCGAGTTGGCAGGAACGGTTGAAGAAAGCATGGAAGACCCTGACACCAAAGAGAAGGTCATTTTGACCGCTGCTGACCCTTTTGCAGGTCTCCACAAGCTCATGGCCGCGCTCGAAGCAACAGTTGGAAAGTCCTCTTTGGATCGAAAAGGTGAGCTTCGTACCATGTACTACCAGGAGATCAAGAGGAATGCCGGCGAAAGAATCAGTTCTTTTTGCACCCGCTTTCGCACACTGGCTGCGGATTTGAAACGCGAAGGCATAGTGATGCCTGAAGAAGAGCTGGGTTGGATGTTGAAAGAGAGATTGGGCCTGGACCCAATTAGAAAGCAACTGTTGGAAACTGCACTCGCTGGTCGTGAGACCTATGAGACTGTCGAGACGGAATGCCTCAGGTTGTTTCGTGACCTCCACACCTCAGACCCGTTGTACAAGGTCAAGCCGCATACAGACAAGGCACCTTTGTTGCAGCGGTTCTTGCAGTCTCACAACAGCAGCAGCTCTTACAGGACCCCAAGCTCAGCCACGCCTTCGATGCGTTCCTACCGCACTCAGAGTTCATCAACTTCCAGCAGACCTCCTTTTCGACGTTTTCCCAACTCAGGTCCTCCCCCTCGACAAGCGTTGGTGATTGAGCCCCAGGACGATGAGTTCAATGGGCATGAACTGGAGGAAGAAGCCGAGTTGATTCCTGCAGATGAGGCAGAGAGTTCGCCTGTCCCTCAGTCTTTGGAAGAAGTGTTGCAAGCAGAAGCTGAATGCCTTGCTAGCGAGATCCAAGAGCTTGAGGAGCAGGGTTGTGAGCCGGCGATGCTGGATGATTTGGAGTCCGGTCTTGAGCAGGCCGCTGAAAGTTTGGTCACGATGCGGGAAGCCAGATCCCGCATTGCTGAAGTGAAGAAAGATAGAGGTTATGGAAAAGCCTCCAGCTATGCTCCAAAGACCAAGCCGCATGGCAACCAGGTTCCTAGACAGAAAGCCAACACAAAGTGTTTTGATTGCGGAGAACCTGGGCATTGGGCTGGTGACGCAGCATGCAGCAAGCCGGGAGCAGGTCTTGGAAAGCCAAAAGGCCGTGGAAAGGGCATTGGACCTCCTCCTGCAGCAAAACAGGTTCGTGTGACAGAAACACTCAACACTGAGCACCTTCCGGAAGAGCCTTTGTTAGACGAGGCCTCAACTGGCCATGAAGTGTTGATGGTGACCACAGACACCTTCCAGCTTCCCCTGTCGGAAGTGCTCGCTCAATCCAACGAACTTGTTGCACCGAACCCTCGCTTGGCATCAGACAAACGTTTTGTTGGTGCGCTGGACAGTGCGTGCAACCGTACATGTGCTGGCAGTTCATGGCTTCGGTGGTATTTGGAATCCCTCAAAGAAGCACCCCAAGCAGTACAAGATTTGGTTTTGCAGGTCCCCGAAGATGAGTTGTTCCGGTTCGGCAACGGCGGCGCCAAGAAGTCCAACGTCCGGTATCGGTTGCCCATGATGGTTGGAAGCACCCTCATCGTGGTTTGGGTATCCATTGTGCCGGTTGCATCCCTAGGTCTATTGCTGGGCCGTGATTTCCTCTCCGGGATCGGGGCCGTGATGTCGTTCGCCCGGAAGAAGCTTAGAGCTGACCTCGTGAACGGTGGAGAGCTCTTAGACATGGGTCAACTTGCTGCAGGCCACTTCACCTTGCCGATGCGCCCGACTACCTCATGGAAATGTCCGGGCACTCAAAGATGGCGTAGTTTTGGTCAGGATGGTGTTGTCGAAATGCAACTTAGCAGTTTAGAGTGGTGGCAGAAGCGTTTGCAGTTTCGTTTGTCTCATTTTGAAGATGTTGCACCTCCCTCGACAACCTCCCATGAGCATCTGGTCACCGAGAGCTCGATGTCGGCAATGGCTCAAGCTATGAAGGTGGCTCAAACTCCGCCTGTGATTTCATCGACATCCCCTACGACATCTCGCAGACCTACGACAAGTGACCAAGGACCAGATGGCCTCTCCAGTGATCGTGCACGACATGACCGAAGAGACCTCTCGCACGATCGGGCGATGGCGGCGCATGATTTTGCGCCTGCGCGCCAAGGCAGATTGGCACGCCCATGGATTGCTCTTGTGGTTGCTGCAGCGGCCTCAGCTGCGCTATGCACCGTTCCCCTATCCAAGCATTCAGCATGTCAAGCAATGGGAAGACCAAGCGGTCGCCATGACCCTCCAGCAACCAAAGGCTATCATGCACTCTCACTGGCAACGCGGTCGAGTGAACCAGGTCTACACCGTAAAGAACCTGCTGGAACTTGGCCAGTTTCGCAATCGAGTGGGCCTGCAGTTCGCCTTCATGGAGGACGTTTTGCTTCAAGGAATGCTTGCAGCAAGGGCCAACAAGGGGGTAGCCTCTCAGTTGAAGAAAGAGGCCATTCAAGAGGCTCAGCTCGAAGCCAAGACCCTGTCGCTGAAGGGAGAACGAGAAGAAGCAGCTCGACAGTTGATTGGACCGAAAGGAGGCCTGCCATCTTTGAAGGCCGACCTTGTACGTCTCGCCACTCTTCTACAGGTCCCAGTCGAGCCCAAGATGACCATCGAGCAGCTGAAACTCGCTTGCAAGCCAGTAGTGAACGAGTTGATGCAGAAGCCCAAGTCCCACACGGGCGCAACCAGTTCCACAGACCCTCCAATGATCGGAGTCAAGGCCAAGCCAAAGCCTTCAACAGCACCGCCAGCTATGGAAGCCGCTCGTCGTTTGGACGCTCAGCAGTCACTCTCAGTGCAGGACGTTCACGAGTTGATGGCAGCTCAAGATCAGAAGTTCCAGACGATGCTCAACCAGGTCCTGCAGCATGTGACGACTCAGCCGGCTCCCAAGGCTTGGTGCGGACATCCGATGTTGTCAGGATTGGACCGTCCAGATGCAGAGATGCCGGAGGGCGAATATGGTTGGTCGCAAGCGGAGATCCAGCAGATGAACGCCGACTACTACCAGGACGACCTCGAGTGGAGAAACGCCAATGGGATTCCGCCCAGGGATCTTTGAGTGACTTGGCATCCAATCCATGGCGCTTGCATCAAGACGTCAAGCCAGGACAAGCGCAGTTGATCTCTCAAGCTTGGGACCAACACTGCCGAGACCGCCGTCTCGTGTCTCTCAGTGCCAAAGAGGTCAAGGAGATCTATGAAATGGATTGGGATGACTGCTTGACGAAAGCCCAAAAGGATGTGTTTGTCACCTCCGTCCTTCTTGGCTCCAATGAGGCACTCTTCTCAGAGAATGAGGCTCTTGTGAATGCCGAGGTCCCTGAGAATGACAAGCGCAATCCGAATGTCAACAAGTTCAAGAATGACTCGGGCAAGTTCGTGAAGCCCAAGTCCCTTGTGGGTGAGGTGTACACCACCACAGAAAGAGTGACAAAAGCAGCCAAGCACCGAGGACATGTGACCGGAACTCCTCTGTCCTTTGAAACTGGTTGGAACTTCCTTCGCAGCCTTGACAGAGAAGTTGCTCGAAAGTTGCTGGCAAAAGAAGTGCCTTTCTTTTTGGTGATTGCCTTCCCCTGTAGTTTTTGGAGCATCCTGCTGAACCTCAACCCGCCAAAAGACTATGAGAGGCGCTTGAAAGAAGCTTTGACCTTGCTTCGCTTTGCGCTTCAATTGGCTCGAGATCAACGAGCTCGAGGGCATCATTTTGTTTTGGAGAACCCACAGAGTTCACGTGCTTGGACTCTGGAAGAGATGAAGAAAGCCTTACATGAACTTGAGGCTCGGTTGATTGATTTTCACCAATGCCGCTTTCAACTCCGAGGACAAGGCGGCAACTTGATTCGGAAGGCCACTCGCATTGCTACTTCGAGTGACCATGTGGTTCAACAGCTTGATGGCATGAAGTGTCTTGGAGATCATTGGCATGAGCACGTGATCGGCGGCAAGCACATTTCTGAGCCTGCAGGTCACTACCCTTGGGAGCTCGCCAAGACGCTAGTCCGAGGCATGGAGAAACAATTTGAAGCCGACTTCAAGCAGCCACATTCCACTATGGCGGTTGAAGGTGAAGATCCAGACCAAGATGAAGCTCCACTCGCTGACTTAGATGACAGCGATACAGATGTAGACCTGCCTGACTCAAAAAGCTCAGAAACGATGGAGAAGCTTCCTGTTGGAGTCAAACATGCACTTCGACGACTACATGAGAACACTGGCCATCGATCGGGTAAGAGACTAGCCCGAGCCTTGGCAATTGCAGGGGCACCAGCAAACGTGGTGAAAGGAGCGCTGCACCTTCGTTGCTCTATTTGTGATGAGCATCGCGCTCCGAAGGCGAGGAGACCTACCAGTTTGCCTACTCCGAAAGACGTTGGTGACCAAGTGCATATAGACATCTTCGAAGTTTTTGACCTGCAGGAAACCCCATGTCTACTCGATGGCTTCCTGTTTTGGGAGCTCCTCGAACCTTGGTGGCGGATCAAGGCCGTGAATTTGTCTCTCATGAGTTTGAAGAGTTTTGCAGCGGCCACTCGATCTACTTGCACCACACTGCGGTTCAAGCACCTTGGCAAAACGGCATTGTGGAGCGGGGCGGTTCAGTCCTGAAGGGCATCATCAGAGCCTTGGTGAAGTCCCACTCCGTCTACGGGCGAGATGACATGGACATTTGTGTTCAAGAGGCCGTGGCAGCGCGCAATGGAGATATGATGGATTCGGGAGTCACTCCGAGCCAGGCTGCCTTCGGTCGACAACCTCGGTTACATGGAGACACTTTGGGCGATTTTGGCCGTCGGCTGAGTGAACACAGCCTCATCGACAGCAAACCAAGCTTAGCCCGTCAGGTGGCAATTCGCGAGACAGCTCGCCTGGCTATGCTGCGCATGCACTTCTCGAAAGGTTTGAGGAGAGCTGCATTGGCCCGTTCAAGAACCTCCACCATCGACCACAACTTGCAGCCAGGTCAGATAGTTTACTTCTTTCGTCAAACCCGCTACAACAACAAGACAGCTGGTTCCAGAAAGAAGCTGAGTCTGCGCCGATGGCATGGACCTGCGCTGTTGATCGCCATGGAAGGCCACACCAATGTCTTCGTGAGCTACCGTGGTCAGTTGACGAAATGTGCTTTGGAACATGTGAGACCTGCCAGTTCTCTTGAGCAGGTCGCTAGTTCAGTCTGGGAGGATGCCATTGAAGAAGTGATCGAAGCAGCTTGCAGAGACAAAAGCTCCAGTGGAGATCCACAACCTCGTGAACATGTACATGAGGATGACGTTGACCTACCAGCTCCTCCTGAATCAGAGCTTCCAGTGGTGGTCAGAGAACCAAGTGACCTGCCTCCTCTACGCCCTCAAGAAATGGTTGCGGGAATGTCCCGGGCTATGTCGCCAGGAACAGACACCCCGATGGCAATTAGCACTAGACGAAGCTCTTTGAGGCCCAGTGTGGACTTGACACAGTCTCCTTTTCCACAAGCAGTTCAACAAGCTTTGCAACAGGTTCAAGTCAGCGGCACGACACCGACTGTTTCAGAAGCTGGCAACAAACGACCAGCTGAACTTGATGCAGAACAACTTCGTGAGCAAGCAGATGAAGTGACCGAAGACATTCCCGGCCCTACAGCGTCGGTGACTGCTCCCCAGTCAAGCGAAGTTTTGAATGTGACTGCTTTGCCCCATGAAGTGATGGAGACGCAAGCTAAAGCTGAAGTTCATCCTCTTCGCCAACTTCAAGCTCTCGCTGCTCTTGATCGTCGAGATCCTCTAAGTGCACGAGTATGTGACCATGGCACTTGGAGAGGTGAATGGCCCTTGCCTTCCAGAACGACCTTGAAAAGAATGCACACCTTGGGTCAACTTTGGCCCTTGGGCAACCAAGATGCTGCGGCTGAAGTGTTAGCTGTCCTCACGGCCAGGAAGGAGAAGAACTGGAACTCGTTGACCGAGTTTGAGAAAAAGGAGTTCCAAGCAGCAGCTCAGAAAGGTTGGTCAGTTTGGACCGACAACGACGCTGTGGAGATCCTGCCGGACCAAGAAGCAATGCGCATCAGAGCAAGACTACGAGCTGAGAATCAGAGCCACAGAATACTAGTCCCTAGGTTCGTCATGGTGGACAAGAACGACGGCCTGAGAACAGAGAAGAACCAGCTCCCGCTCTTGGCGAATGCTCGCCTGGTGGTTCCGGGTTACCAGGACATCTCTGCTTATGGCATTCGATGCGACGCTCCAACCGCATCCAGGACAAGTCAACACTTGCTTCTAGCTTACACTGCTTCCCTGCAATGGACGCTATGGTCAGCAGACATCAAATCAGCCTTTTTGAAAGGTGAAGAGTTTGGTCCAGAAGAGCGTGTGCTGTACCTCGCCAACATCAAGACCAAGCATGCAGATGAACCTACCTTGCCTTTTTCCTCTTTCGGCCTCTGCCGAGTCAAGAAGGGCATTTTTGGTTTGGCTGACAGTCCGCGCAGATGGTACCAGCGCTTGAACAAGGCAGTTCTAAAGCGAGGCTGGAAGTTGTCAGCTTTGGACAACGCCATGTGGATGTTGTGGAGCAGCGATGGCTCTACCTTGGAGGGGATCATGATTTCCCACGTGGATGACCTCCTCATGGGTGGCAACTCAAGAGCTCAAGGAACGTTGGAATCCTTGGGTGCAGAATTGGGCTTTGGATCCATTTCCAGCAAGTCCTTCGTCTACTGCGGCAAGAAGATTGAGCAGTTGCCTGATGGAACCATCTCCGTCACAATGGACGAGTACCACTCCAACCTGCAACCTGTTCGCATTGCTCCGGATAGGAAGAAGAAGCCGGAAACCCCATTGTGTCCTTCAGAGCACAAGCAACTCCGTGCTGTTCTGGGATCACTGCAATGGTTGGTTGCGCAAATCCGTTATGATGTTGCTTTCCAGCTCTCTAGCCTACAAGGTGAATCTGCACACCCGACGGTTGGCACTCTACTTCGTGCAAATCAGCTTGTGAGAAAGGTGAAAGAGAATCCCAACTTTGCCTTGAAGTTCCGCCCGATGAACCTCAAAGACGCTGGCATCGTCGTCGTTTCTGACGCCCCCTTGGGCAACATGACCAAGGCCGGAACCGCTCAGGGTGAGAGCTTGGAGAAAGTCTACAGCCAGGCCTCTTACTATGTGCTTCTGGCGGATCGCAAGTTGTTGGATGGCCAGCCAGGCCAATTTGCCATCTTAGACGCGAGGTCGCACAGACTTCAACGCGTCTGTAGATCCACCTTTGCTGCAGAGCTCATGGGCATTGAAGAAGCAATGGACGCAGGGCAGTACTGCAGAGGAGTTGTGGCAGAAGCATGTGGGCATCCGTTGGACAAGAAACCCTTCGAGCTGAGCACAGACTCGATCTCCATGGTCATTGTCACCGACTCAAAGGATGCCTATGACAAGAGCTCCAGTTCAACCCCGTCCTATGGATCGCAGAAATCCTTAGCCTTCACAATAGCATGGATTCGCACCATGTTAGCCCGCAGCAACACCATGATCCGCTGGACCTCGACAGAAAACCTCTTCGTCGATTGCGGAACGAAGGAGATGGACAATGCTCAGTTGCTCCGCATCATGGACGAGTGTCGCTGGTGCATTAGTTACTCGCCAAGCTTTGTTAAACAAAGTTCGAAAGGCAAATCCGCCAAAAAGGTGGTCCTGACTGATGTTCGTAGTGACCTTGGGGAACCTTTTGAAAGTACAGACCCCATTTTCGGCCATGTGATGAAGTTGAGTAAGCAAGCTGGTTGGCACCGAGTGTCTGATGACCTTGCCATTCATGTTTGTTTGAACGCTCGCTCCTACCGAACTCCGGAGCCTCGCTTCAAGCAAGCTGAGCTTCCCTTTCGCACCACCTTTGCATGTTTTGAAGGTGCACATGCATTGCAGTGGAGACGCCTTGAAGACGGCGTGAAGATGAGCGAACTTCGAAATGTTCGCGGTCCTCTTGGATTGCATGCGGCAGTCCTTGTCACGTGCTTCAGCAGATCACCGACACTGAGCCAAGAAAAGAAAGGTATCAGCTGTGAAACGAAGCAGTTGGCATCAGTGTCGGATCGTTCGGCTTGAGGCATGTCTTTTACTCATGCGGCCATATAGGCCTACAGCCATAAATCGCTACGCGTTCGGCCAAAAGGGGCGCTTGAAAGCCTGTCCACGAGGGCTTTCACAACATGTGTTTGGACGCATGGGAATTGCAAAGCACAAGCAAGCGGCTGCACATTGATGGGGCGCTCCTAGCCATGTCGGCCGATACTGATCAGCAACCCGACCCGGATTCCTTTAGCTTCCAAGAGGAGGACTTCGAAACCATTCCATGGTCTGTCAGCTACGTTCTTGTTTGCATCTTGCTTCCAGCTCTATGTGGAGGCCTTTCCTCATTTGCTTGGGCAGGACAGGCGTCTATTTTCTCGTGACGAGAGGGAGTAGAAAATGTTCCAGAACATATGAAGGAAAAGTGGGATGTGCACAGGCGATGAAGCTGTCATTTGTTCAGATCTTTTCAGTACTGTGCTGGCTTCATTGCCAAACGGACTAGTGCGGTGGCAACATGATGAGGGGCTCACCTTAAGTTCTGAAGTTACAGATAGTTAAAGGCTGCATGTTTGATCCTGAGGGCGCAGCGAAACCCACTTTCTTGAAGGTTATTCAGAGTCTTGAAATCTGTTGTTCTTGCCAGCCTTTTGGCCGGCGCTCTTTTGTTGGCTGGCTAGTTGCCTGCTGACGACTTGAGTGTTTCCGAAGTTTCCGACCCCGACAGCCAGGGGTTGTCTAAGGCTGGGAAAGTTAGTTAATGATGGTGACCTTCACACGTTAGTGGTTCGAGCACACTTTTTGTCCATGTGCTCCATTCTATTCCAACGTGACGTGGAGTGCCAGGATTCACCTTGTATGTTCGGAGTCAGGGCTGGGACCTGCAGACGGCTGGAGTGTTGGTCAGTGTGGGGGGCTTGGGCCGCCTGGTCACACAGCAAGTGTCTTGGAAATAGTCAAGGCCCTGTTTTTGTGGGACAATCATGCCCAGACTAGGGCGACTGGTGACTGTATAGTGACCAGGATCATGCTTAGAGTCTAGATGACTTGAAACAAGAAACACTGTGGG